GAGATGAAACCTCTTCATGATAATAACACCTGGGAACTGTTTGAGAAACCTGCAGGAGCAAGGTTAGTCAGTTGTAAGTGGATTTTCAAGGTCAAGGAAGGAATCGAATGAGTGATGCTGAAGCGCTTTAAGGCAAGATTGGTTGCTAGGAGGTTCACTCAGAAAGAAGGTGTCGACTTCAATGATGTGTTCTCACCTGTTGTAAAGCATAGATCCATTGTATGTTATTAGCCATGATGGCAAAGTTTGACCTGGAACTTGAGCAAATGGATGTGAAGACAACATTTTTGTATGGTGACCTAAATAAAATGATCCTGATGCGTCAACCTGAAGGGTATGCATAAAAAGAATAAGGAAGATCATGTGTGCAAGCTGAATAGGTCATTGTTTGGCCTGAAACAATATCCTCGACGATGGAACAGGAGATTTGAAAAGTTCATGGCACACATTGGTGAAGCCAGTTCGACCACTGTGTTTACTTTAGATTTCAACCTGGAAATTCATTTGTTATTTTGTTGATTTATATGGATGATATCCTCATAGGTAGCAACAGTGTCGAGGATGTAATGGAGGTGAAGGCTGAACTCAACAAGGAGTTCAAAATGAAGGATCTGGAGGCTGCCACCAGGATTTTTGGGATTGACATCCGGAGAGATAGAAAGTATTCAAAATTATGCTTATCTCAAGAGACATACCTACGGAAGCTTCTCGACAAGTTTGGTATGTCGATTTCAAAGCCTGTTGTGACTCCAAGAAATCCTCAGTTTAAGCTTAGTACTACTCAAAGTCCGAGTACTGAAGCTGAAAGAATCTATACGAGTAGTATTTCATATGCTAGTGTAGTAGGTTCTTTGATGTATGCTATGGTTTGTACGAGGCCAAACATGGCGTATGGTGTGAGACTTGTAAGTAGGTATATGGCCAATCTTGGAAAGGCGCACTGGCAAGCTGTAAAGTGGATACTCAGGTGCATAAATGGGTCTCTAAAAAGAGTCTTGATTTATAGTGAAGCCTGTGATGATGATAGCAAAGTCGAAATTAAAGGGTTTGTCGATTTTGATTATGCAGGTTGTATGGATTCTAGAAAGTCTATTTTTGGATATGTGTTCACTATGTTCGGCACAACAATCAATTGGAAAGAAACACTTCAGAAGGTTGTTGCCTTATCAACCATTGAAGTATAATATATTTCCCTCACTGAATTTGTGAAAGAAACATTGTGCCTTGAAGGTTTTGCAAAGGAGATGAAACTTCAAGGTTGAAGTATCACTGTTAAATGTGATATTCAAAGTGCAATACACATGTCGAAGAACTCAGCTTATCATGAGCGAACGAAGCACATTGATGTGAGGCTGCACTTCGTTAGAGAGGTAATCAAGTATGGTGAAGTCCAGGTACTGAAGGTTTTGACTGATGATAATGTTGCTGATATGATCACCAAGACGTTGCCAAGTTGCAAGTTTTTCCACTGTACGCAGTTGATAAAGCTACATGATGAAATCTAGTTTATTCCATGTTGTTGTAGAGTTAGATCCAAAGTGGAGATTTGTGAGATTTTGGGTCGAACTCTAGCTCTGTCGATGAATAGCTTTCATGTGTTTCGCAATCCCACTATATAATTTATATAATTGATCTCAAAATTTATCCCACTATCTGTTATCCCACTATCCTACTTTTGAGGTTGGCCGCTCTGCTCTGCTATCCAGAATTAATAACACTGATAAAGATTCTCCCAAGTTTGATCCTAACGTTAATAATGTTAACATCTCTAATAAAGATGATAATCCTCCTCGTGTCAATGATGAGAATAATTCAAAATTTATTAATCATTTTAGGGTGTGAAACCTCCTCATCCGTAGACTAGTGTCCTCAATGAAGGTGAGGCTTCTAGTAATGGTTATGATGATGTTATACCAACAAGTAATGATAAAGATAATGCTAGTTTCATAAACTCTGAGTTTACGGACGATCCACGACATGAGGAAGTACATATTGATAAGGAAATTATTGTTGAAGGAAACATTATTGTGGTTTTTGACAATATGCTAATATACCTAATGATGATCATGGCTTTAGTGATGCTTTGATGGAGCAAGAGAAAAATATCATGATTTCTTATTATTGGACTTTGAAGGTTGATGAGAGCTTTTGGCATGAGAAGGCTAAAATCAAATTGTGTAATGAAGGTGATATGACACAATTCGTTCACGAAACTGCTAATATTAGGCTTGATATTAAAAGCATATCTTCTCTTACTATTGATTGTGATGTTATTGATTTTGTTGATATTGAAAATCAATTTTTTAGTCTTTCGAATTCTATTTTCAATGTTAATAATAGATATTTTGATGATGGATTGATATAGGATGAGACCTCAAATATTGTGGACGGCCAAACGAATGATACACTTATTAGTATTCTTATTTCCATTGAAGTGTGTTTTGCAGTCTATGTCATGAGTAGTGATAATGTTCTAAGTCATGATGGTTTTCGAGCTCACTTCTTCCAAATTTATTAGAAGATTATTAAATATGATGTGATTAAAGTTGTGGTTTCTTTCTTTTATTAATGGCTACATATTTCTAATTGGAATGAAGACCTAATCATGATTTGTTTTTGGTAAAGGGAAAACGTCCAAAGTTTTGATACTACAAAAAAAATGTCAATATATATATATATAATTTAAAAAATTAGAATATGATATAGATTTCTTTGGACCAAATGTGTCGATCATTTGTAAGTAACAATTTTGATTAAAGAAAAAACTAAAATTTTTTACCCTACACCCCTACATTTAATAAAAATGTCAATTTTATCCTTATTTATTTTTTATTATTTTATTATTTTACCTTTTATTGTTCCTGTCAGACAGTTCCGAAAAATTCACCCCATCAACATTGTTTTGGAACACTTTTGGAATGACTTCTGGTATGAATTTTTTCACACCGGAAGACTTTAGCTAAGAGTTCCAGTTCATTACAAAACATGTAATAGATGTGTTAGAAAAAGACTTCCGATTCTGAGACCTACTTACAACTCTTCCGGAACACTTTCTGTCATGTCTTTCGATTTGGTTATAATGTTCACCAGAACACTTTCCCTAAGAGTTCTGGTTTGGTTGTAATGTGTACCAGAACAGTTTTCCTGAGAGTTCCAGTTTGTTGACTTTTGTGTATCGGAACTCTTTTCATGAGACTTCCGGTTTGTTTTTGTAAATGTATTTTTTTTAATTGTTTTTATTCTGCATGTACAAAAATTCCTCCGCAAATATGCGATAAAGACCAGATATGTGTAGATACGTCTTATATTTTTTCAACTACTCATAGATTTAGTACACGAGAAGAGGTCATAAGATGGACTAAAGAGATCAGAATCCAAAATAAAGTAACAGTTATCATCACTCGTTCAGATGTTGAAACATGCAAGAGAGGAAGAAGTAGCAAATTAATATTTGGTTGTGATAAAGGTGGGAAACACAAGGATATTTATAGTGGTGCCCAAAGTGCAACGAAAAAATGTGGATGTCCATTTAAAATCAGGTCGACTCCGACGAAAGATGGGTATGGATGGAAAGTTGATGTAAAATGTGGAGTTCATAACCATGGTTTACCTGATAGATTAGAATGTCACTCCTTTGTTGATAGGTTGGCAGCAGATTAGAAGCAACATGTTGTTGATTTGACAAAGAGAAAGGTTCCACCTAGACATATATTGCTTTCCTTGCAAGAGCAAGATCCACAGAATCTCACTCGGATCACGCAAATATAAAAGCAGAAGAGTATGATAGAAAAAGAGATAAGAGGTCCTAGAAGTGAGATACAACATTTGTTTAAGCTTATTGAGGGTGCAAGTTATGTTTATTGGAGTAGAAAAAGAGATGACTCTGAAGTTATTAGAGATATATTTTGGGCTCATCTAGATTCAGTTAAGTTGTTGAATATTTTTCCTATTGTGTTAGTTATGGACAACACTTACAAGACAAACAAATTAGGCAACCTCAGTTTGAAATTATTGGCATGACATCAACCGAGTTGACTTTTGCTGTCGCATTTGTGTATATTGAGTCTGAGCAGACTGAGACTTTTTGTTGGGTGTTAGATAAGCTTAAAGAATTGTTTGTAAAGAAAGATTTGTGCCCGCAAGTGATTGTGACAAATAGAGATCTTGCTTTGATGAAAGCCATTGAAACTGTGTTTCCAAGGTCGATCAATTTGCTATGTCGATTTCACATTAACAAAAATGTTGGTGCAAAATGCAAGCAACATGTGGTTAGCGACATGCAAAAGACGATGGAAGACTTATGGACGAAAGTTGTATGAACTAGTGATGAGATTGAGTATGATCAAAGGTTGAACCAACTTGAGTAGACGTGTGTTGATTGTAATGAATTTATTGATTATGTGAAGGACATATGGTTGACACCACATAGATAAAGATTTATTTGATCATGGATTAATCGAGTGCTACATTTGGGTAACACCACGACTAATCGGTGTGTATTTATTTTTAGTATTTCTAAATTGTATATATTTTTTTGTATTTTTTAAGTATTTTTAATATGTATTATTTTTAGGGTTGAGTCTGCTCATTGGAAGTTAAAGCAAATGTCGGGGAACAGTATTGGTGACATGGTCAAATGTTGGGAGGCTATGAATAACAACTTAAAGTTACAACTGGGTAAGATTAGAGCTTCTTTTCAAAAGAGTTTTTATGAAGTTAAGCAAGCCCACGTAAGTCCATTTTACAACAATTTACGTGGTTTAGTGTCTCGAGTTGCATTAAGACGCATTGCTAAAGACTTAACATGAGTTAATTATGTTGGAACTAACAAGGAAATATGTCGTTGTACTCTTAGAACAATCTATGGATTACCTTGTGCTTGTGCATTGACAGGATATAAAATTGGTGGTATACCGATAGATGTTATGCATGTTCATTGGAGGAAATTAAGTATGGAAGTTAAGTTAGAGGAAGACGTAGATGTTGGATAAGAAGTGGATATGAGTAGTGCAATAAATGAGTTATGGAAAAGGTTTAGGTCACTAGATGTTGTTGGGAAAAGGGCATTAAAAAGTAGGGTTTTTGAACTTTCCTTCCCCACAATGACTTCTTTGTGTCCACCTCCTGAGAAAATAAAAACCAAAGGGGGAGTCAAGAAGAAAGGAAAAAAACCAATAGGGTATGATGTTTATAGGGATGTTTATAGGGACCCTTCGTATCATGAGTATGTTAATCAAGCATCTCAATCTTCACAAAGGCAATCTCAACCATCACATCACAAACTTCGAAGAAGTTGAAATTATCACAATCTTCATAGAAGAAATCTCAACCATCACAGGCTTCGAAAAAGTTGAAATAATCACAATCTTCACAGTCATCTAAGCAGTTCATCATTCAGTTTCCTAATCACATCAGGTTATATATTGATGATGTAGTTAATGTTGTATCAGATGGTAATTGTGGATTTAGAGTCATTTCTTCACTTCATAGATATGGTGAAGATGGTTGGCTAATGGTTCTTCGAGACTTGGGGTTGGAAATAATACATAATGAAAGATAAAGTTTGTATGCCAATTTATTTGCTGATCGGTTAGCAGAAGTGAGAAAATCTTTGATGATAGAGGCATTTGATCCTCAACCACCACAGAAATGGTTGACTCTACCAAATATGGGTTACTTGATAGTGAATCGTTATAATATTGTACTTGTCTGTTTAGGTTTTGAATGTTGAACTTTCTTCCCTATGACAACTTCATTTTCACCAAATATATACTTTTACTGCATTGGTTTTGTAAACACAAATCATTGGGTTCAGGTACTTAGTTATTTTTACTTAGTTATATTTACTTAATGTGACTAACCTAATTTCTTAACGTTTTGATTATTTTTTTATTCAGGTAGACATGAAAGAATGGTTTCCATTGCCACCAGTGACAGTAGATTGGAAGAAGTTTCGTTCTCCAACAACAACATCTTGGATGCTAGGCTTTGCAGGACGTCTACAACATTGGCAACAACTTACGCCTATATTACCAACGTATTATGAATTATAAATCATGTTATTCATTTTTAATTTCAAAACATGAATCATGAATTATGTTATTCATTTTTAATTTTAAAACATGAATTATGAATTACGTTATTCATTTTTAATTTCAAAACATGAATCATGAATTATGTTATTCATTTTTAATTTCAATAACACATAACTGGATTCAAAACTAAACATCACTTACAAGTTAACACGTAAACATAACCCAACTAGGTGAAGTGAGTCTAAAAATTAATACATAAACATAAACATAAGTCAATAAGTCTAAAAGTTAACACATAAATATAAGTCAATGTGAACGAGCAATACGTAAAGCTTCGAACAACTCAGCAAAGTGTGGATCATCCTTTTCAACACCAGCATGTTGAAGATAACGATGAATCAATGTAGAAACACGAGCCCAGCTAGGATCAGACGGTCCTGCATCGTAAACAGGAACTGACACCTCTCTTGGCACATCACAATGGGGCGGTATCAAACGAGGATGCGAAACACGATAATATCACTGAAAATATCCATCATCTGTCTCTGATGGGGTGGTGATCAGTGTTGTGCGACGAATCACATCCCCAATGCTCTGATGGTAACTAATCCACTCAACATCAATATCATCGGCCATCGTATAATCAAGAGGTGGAAGTGGAACATACTGCCAGTATCCAAACTGACACATACATCTGTCAGGCAAGTATGGAACAATAGTGTCACCCCACCTCAGACACCCCCTGTATAGACATAACTCATCAAACTGACGCCATACTCTATGATCCTTGAATGGGCTCCATATGACATCGGTTGGTGTCAGCTCATCCATAATAGGTCGCAAGTCATCCACCTTCAGGACACCTTGCCTATAGGACCATCTCATCGCTCGAGGGATACCAACATTATTAGCTGTTATCCAATTCTCTCCTTTTTTCCAAGTGTTGGAAAATACTCATGAATCCAGCACTGTTACAAAATTAATACTATTAGTTAATTTAATATAATTAATTATAACATAATAAACTAGATAAATAAAATTAATATACTAAATAAAATTAATTAAAATAAAATAAGCTAAATTAAAATAAATACCTGTAGGAGAGTCGGATAACCATCGAGCTGCTTACAACTGAACAAGGAAGCATCTCTGAGATATCTATAAAGAGTAACTAACGTAGCTGCTCCCCAACTGTATTCTGATAAGTCATCCAAGTCTATAAATAGTGAGAGGTATTGTGCCTCGACAAAGTAAATGTCTTGTCCGTAAAAATCGTGGAATCCACTAACATCAACAAATAAGCTCTAGTCGCATATGGCCATCTAGAAGCAGCTCTATGCTTTACAAATCGATCGTATAACCACTCCAAATTATAGTAAGAATCCCTGCTGTCACAGACTTGTTGTTGTTCCACTCTGTGTGACACTCCTAAGTAATCAACAACTCACTCAACAACAAGCCCTACACTGATATCTTAAGAGCTCCAAAAGACTCCCCTGATGGGCAAGTGAAGCAGACAAGAGACGTCATCTAGAGTAATCGTCATCTCACCAAACAACATGTGAAATGAAGATGTCTCTAGATGCCATCTATCTCGCAAATGCGGAAACCAGGTTCGTATCTATCTTCGTCAACCTGGTTCTTTGGAGTGAAGATATACCAGACCTAGATACCCAACCCTCCATCTCTCTAAGAAGGTGTAGTGAAACCCTCTTAATCAGCTTCAACCCATGTCCTGCTACCTTCAACTCTTTCTTCGTATCTCTCTCCTGAAAATAATTAAAAGTAAATATATTATAAAATACAACATTAAAAATTTAAATTTTATTCAATATCAAATAATTATCGTTTACTTACCTCACTGAACCATATATGTCTAGCAATATGATGTTCGTACTTAACCAAAAGAGAGGTATCGTACGGTCCTCCCGAATATCCAATAGGTTGTCGTGCTGATACAGATGCACCAGTATGCTCTTTCTCAGCCATTCTCGATGATTCGCCCCGTCCTAAACCACGATCAGGGATCCTACCGTCCTTGCCTCGTGTGCGCACCACTACTAAAATTAAAAAAATAAAAAACATAATATATATATATATATATATATATATATATATATATATATATATATATATATATATATATATATATATATATATATATATATATATATATATATATATAAAAGTAGAAAAAATAAAACCGGAACACTTCAACAATTTTCGGTATGAATCTTAACGAAACGAATCGGAAGACTTGCATTAATACTTTCGGTAAATAAACGAAAATACCATAATACCGGAAGAATTGCATTAACATTTCGAGTATGTAAACTCAAAAAATCAGAACACCAGAAAAATTCTTCAATGTCTTCTGGTACGAAATCGAAACTAAAAGCCTTACTCTAATATCTCCGATATACACTTTATGAATCAGAAAACTTGTAATATGAGTTCCGATATACAGTGCAAAAATCTTTCCCTCAGACAGGGACGGAGCTACCTATAAGATTAAGGGGCATGTGCCCCCACTAATATTCAACTCATATACTTATATATAATAGTAATATACACAAACAAGCTTGTAATGCCTATGTGATAAATTCTCCAAAACTAATTTCATCACACGATGATTGCAATGGTAAGACATAGTTTACTATGTTTTATATGTAAAGCAAAATGCTAAGATAATATTAATTATGTTTTATATGTAATGTTTATTGATATAAAATAGTTAAGTATATTTTTAATATCTATTGCATATAGTTAATTATATTTTTAAGGTAAGACAATTACTAATTATAAATTTTAAGTGAAACTATTATATTATATCAATACTTTAATATTTTATATTTATTATTCATATTTTTTATATTATAAGTTATAATATTTATTTATCAATAACATGATTTAGTAGTGTATTTTGTTAAATTAATAAATAAAACATTAATAATACTTTAGATACAAAATTAATATATTATATTTTAAATATAGTTTAATTAGTATACATATTGTTAATGTTAAAAAGATTACACTTACGTTCAATTATTTCACAAATACAAATGTTTGGCCAAATATTTTATAAGTAATATAAGAAATTGACATAATAAAAAATAATAATAGTTTATGTACAATTAATTTTTGCCCTTCTTTTATATATATATATATATATATATATATATATATATATATATATATATATATATATATATATATATATATATATATATATATATATATATATATATATATATATATATATATATATATATATATATATATATATATATATATATATATATATATATATATATATATATATATATATATTGTTCTGGACTGGGTTGAGACTTAGCCCACAATCGAGAAGGCCCAAAAATCCCACTGAGGTTGGGCCCAATTGGACCACACTGATGAGCAGGGACTCGTTGGGCAGGAACCTCCTCCCGTCGGGCAGGTGCCCATCCCGTCGGGCAGAACCTCCTCCGTCGGGCAGGTGTCCATCCCGTCGGGCAGAACCTCCTCCCGTCGGGCAGGTGCCCATCCCGTCGAGCAGGACCTCCTGCCCATCCCGTCGGGCAGAACCTCCTCCGTCGGACAGGTGCTCATCCCGTCGGGCAGAACCTCCTGCCCATCCCGTCGGGCAGAACCTCCTCCGTCGGGCAGGTGCTCATCCCGTCGGGCAGAACCTCCTGCCCATTCCGTCGGGCAGAACCTCCTGCCCATCCCGTCGGGCAGGTGCCCATCCCGTCGGGCAGAACCTCCTCCCGTCGGGCAGGTGCCCAGCTCGTCAGGCAAAACCTCCTCCTGTCGGGCAGGTACCTCCTCCCGTCGGGCAGCACAACGTGCCTTCCACACGTTCTCCGCGTGCTCCCCTCCGCGGGGACACGCCACCAACTAACTGACCACCTCCGAAAGAGCAGGTCAAACCCACTTTCCGGAGATCACGGGACAGTTGGACTAGGGCGAAGACCACGTCCTGGTCTTCACTACGCCACGTAAGCCCTAGCAGTCACGTGGGTTGGGCCTGGCCATCCAGCCCAACACAAGTGACCGTTGGCCCAGCGCTGGGGTCTCTCTATAAATACCTTCTTCCTCAAGAGGGTCAGGGAACACACTTCTTACCCCTTTTTTGTACTTTGCTCTCACTCTGCCCAATTCCTTACTTTGGCATCAGAGTGTCTTGCAGGTATACCCCATTTCTCCTCCTCATCACCGGTGAACAGGTAGCAGTCCAACAGCGTGTGGCCAGCCCGTGATCCCCTTCTGATCAGGTCAGATCAGTGGTGCCATCTGTGGGAAACTAAGCTCCCCCGTTCCTCCGAGCAGAGAACCAAAGCTTCATCTCTCAAAACTTCAAGATCATGAGTGCCCCCCGCCATGGCGACGCTGTTCACAACTGTCCTCCCTTCGTCGAGCAGAAGACTCCGATGGGCAGGACCCTGGCTGCCCACCAGCCAGTCTTTGTCCTCCTTTCGTCGAGCAGAAGACTCTGATGGGCAGGACCCTGGCTGCCCACCAGCCAGTCTTTGTCCTCCTTTCGTCGAGCAGAAGACTCCGATGGGCAGGACCCTGGCTGCCCACCAGCCAGTCTTTGTCCTCCTTTCGTCGAGCAGAAGACTCCGATGGGCAGGACCCTGGCTGCCCACCAGCCAGTCTTTGTCCTCTCCTTTGACGAGCAGAAGACTCCGATGGGCAGGACCCTGGCTACCCACCAGCCAGTCTTTGTCCTCCGTTCGTCGAGCAGAAGACTCTGATGGGCAGGACCCTGGCTGCCCACTAGCCAGTCTTTGTCCTCTCCTTTGTCGAACAGAAGACTCCGATGGGCAGGACCCTGGCTGCCCACCAGCCAGTCTTTGTCCACCTTTCGTCGAGCAGAAGACTCTGATGGGCAGGACCCTGGCTGACCAACCAACCAGTCTTTGTCCTCCTTTTGTCAAGCAGAAGACTCCGATGGGCAGGAACCTGGCTGCTCACCAGCCAGTCTTTGTCCTCTCTTTCGTCAGGCAGAAGACTCTTCCGGGCAGGACCCTGGCTGCCATCCAGCCTTGTCCTCCCTTCAAAAACCTACTACCTCGAAAACTTACACGGGGACCATATAGCTCGACCATAGAACGCTGAGAAGCTAGAAAAAATACTACAGTTAAACACTACCCGCGAGGACCACCTCGCGACCACAGGAGCGCGACATGGTACGACCGCGTCTCCTCGGATTTAACGAGATAGCAAACGCGTGCCCTTGAGTGTGCGGGCAGAGCGTTCTGCTCGACGGCAACCCCCTCGACCGAGAGTCGCCGCTGCAGTACCAGATCGGTAGAACACCCAGTTCGCGATGGTCCGTTCACGCCAGGGGGACGACTCCATAACCGTGGTCCGACCCCTTCTTCCGACCAGGTACCAACTCCGGTCAACCGGTTAGTTCCCTACACTACCGGTCAACGAAGTCGAGTTACACCCCCTACTGAGCAAATTTTACATCAAAGCATAACAATCATGCACGCACACAAAACTTAGAAAGGAAAACAAGAATTCCATAAAAGGGGCACAAGCCCAGAAGTCAAAACGTTATAATAAACGGGCACGACCCCGGATGTCGAGCAAAAACAATCGAAGGTGTCGAGCAGAAAATTTTGGATGGTGAGCGACTGCAATTTCGTCCTGCCCAGATGATCGATACGACCGACGTCAGTCTCGGATCCTGCCTGACATATCAGCGCGCCCAACGCTATTCTCTACTTAAGTCATAGCTCTCCTGACAGCGAACTACGACTTGGGGGGCTCTTGTTCTAGATTGGGCCGAGGCTTAGACCACAATCGAGAAGGCCCAAAAATCCCACTGAGGTTGGGCCTAATTTGACCACACTGATGAGCAGGGACTCGTTGGGCAGGAACCTCCTCCCGTCGGGCAGGTGCCCATCCCGTCGGGCAGAACCTCCTCCGTCGGGCAGGTGCCCATCCCGTCGGGCAGAACCTCCTCCCGTCGGGCAGGTGCCCATCCCGTCGGGCAGGACCTCCTGCCCATCCCGTCGGGCAGAACCTCCTCCGTCGGGCAGGTGCTCATCCCGTCGGGCAGAACCTCCTGCCCATCCCGTCGGGCAGAACCTCCTCCGTCGGGCAGGTGCTCATCCCGTCGGGCAGAACCTCCTGCCCATTCCGTCGGGCAGAACCTCCTGCCCATCCCGTCGGGCAGAACCTCCTCCGTCGGGCAGATGCCCATCCCGTCGGGCAGAATCTCCTCCCGTCGGGCAGGTGCCCATCCCGTCGGGCAGAACCTCCTCCTGTCGGGCAGGTACCTCCTCCCGTCGGTCAGCACAACGTTCCTTCCACACGTTCTCCGCGTGCTCCCCTCCGCGGGGACACGTCACCAACTAACTGACCACCTCCGAAAGAGCAGGTCAAACCCACTTTCCGGAGATCACGGGACAGTTGGACTAGGGCGAAGACCACGTCCTGGTCTTCACTACGCCACGTAAGCCCTAACAGTCACCTGGGTTGGGCCTGGCCATCCAGCCCAACACAAGTGACCGTTGGCCCAGCGCTGGGGTCTCTCTATAAATACCCTCTTCCTCAAGAGGGTCAGGGAACACACTTCTTACCCCTTTTCTGTACTTTGCTCTCACTCTGCCCAATTCCTTACTTTGGCATCGGAGTGTCTTGCAGGTACACCCCTTTTTTCCTCCTCATCACTGGTGAACAGGTAGCAGTCCAACAGCGTGTGGTCAGCCTGTGATCCCCTTCTGATCAGGTCAGATCATATATATATATATAGGGACGGATCTAGCTAGGTTTAGGTCATTGGGGCGATTTGCCCCTACTAATTTATTTATTTTATATTGAATAATTAATTATTTTAGTTTAAAATTTTTTTAAAATTAAATATTGCCCCTATAAAATATATAAATTAATTTTAATTATAAGTAATTAAATAAAAGTTAACTTAAAAGATAAGTTGTTAAAATATTATTTGACCACATACACATAAATATATG